ATTTAAACCAAATTACATAATTGTTTATAACCTATCATCAGTAAAATTCTACTAAGCGTTTAAAACACTCTCAAATACATCCTTTTTAAGTGAAAATCCCATAAATATTGATTCACCTTGACCTTTGACCTTCTGTTCTACGTATGCAAAGATTAGTTCGCTGTTAACAGGTGTAATTAAGTTGACTAAACGGGTAATTCTTTCTATTGTCCTTCATTATACCAATGCTGCTACACCTGTGCACAAGATCTTAAATCAGGATATTCTAAGCCTTGTTAGCTTGACGTATCATTCACGCAAATTTTATAAAATGGTGTTCTTGAAAAAAGTCTGTGAATCTACAAATATATAACTATTTTTGTCTTCAGACGATCATTTTGCATCTCCCTACGTGTATTTTTATATTTACACCAACTACAATAATCTAATCAAATTTTGAATATAAATGAAACCAGCAAATTAGGAATCTTGAGTCGATGCTACCATTTTTGCTATTATCATTTGTATTAGATATAAGACTTTTTTTTCTCGTCGATAACGCTTGAGAAAAAGGCTCTTACTTAAGTGGTCGACATAAAATTGACTGTATGTACAGCATGAAAGCAACAATTACACAACATATCACAGATATGAAGTATCACAGGATTCTTTTGTCACTGGCTATGACTTACTTCAATTATAATACTATATTTAAAAGGAGTGCTGTTATATTGATATGATATTTGATGTATATTTGAGATAATATACGACTAATGTGATCTCATTAACATCACACACAGAAAAGATATTGTTTTCATGCCAAAGCAAAGTTTTCTCCTTCTATATGTTGATCTCAGTTGCAACTTTATTTTGAGAATTCGGTTTGAGCATGTGCATTTAATTAGATTTTTCCTAGATTTACAAAGCAGGTTTCGCCAATGAAGCAAGCGACGCTCAAGTTTTCGCAACACAAGGTCTTATCCTCCTTGTACATTTTAAAGGGTCTCCGTTTAAGTTCTTCTTTAGTGCATATAATGCCCCCGTTTTATCGATTTTGAGTTCGAATTAAAGATAAAGATGTCCTAAGATATAGCGACAGCAAACTTACACGACTGGCTACATAATTTTTCAGTAATGGAGTTTCATTATAGGCAAACTGTTATCAGGGAAATGATCCACGGACAGTATCAAAATTGGATTTAAAACGCACCTTATCCAATTATACAATAAATATTTCTATTCATCTACCAATCGTATAAATGTTTCCTCGTATATGTCACTTACTGTTTAGGGGTTAATCTCAACACCTACGTCATTAGCAGTTCTTATCCTCGTCCCAAGCCTCACTTGACCGAATTTACGTCAGATATGTAGCTGTACTTTTAGTAAAGAACATCCGACTGGAACACAAGCAGAAGGAGCAAATATATTGGATAAACCAGTTCATGCTTTGTATCAAATTACCATCCACAAGTGTCAGGAAGTATCTGTGTCCAAGGCTAGTTTTCGGCAAGGCATCAACCGAGCGTTGTACAGTGACGTCAGAGTTACCCGAGGGATGCAATTTATTATCAGATTCTTTACAGAAGATATGTTGGCCAAACCTTCTCTTGGTAGTGATGTTGATGTATTAAACTAACGGGAAATTATAGCTAGAATTACATAAAAAGAAAGCTCAGCAAATAAGGATTCAGTCAAGCAACATATCTTTTTTAGTTGCTTTATGAACTGACAATGGGAAATTAACCTGGTGCAAAATTCGGTATCCGAAGATGTCCAGGGCATTTGACATTATTTCTTTAGTATGCTGATTGGACCCCGACATTAGCGGCAGCTGTCTCGCTTCTCTCATTCGTGACGTACAATAACTAAACCTCTCGGGGGAAATACCTTTCGAAATTATAGCCTGTCATAATATTGTGAAATGGAATCATCTCGGTATGTTTTATGACGTACACACTGATTTTACATATATTTTGATATCTTGGTCAGGGGTCGACATTTTTACTACATCATGATGATAACCAGCACACAAATTCAAACTATTATAACATGCGATGGAGGTTTGGCTGCTAAGAATAATTCAGGAATTATTATGAACGAATTAATGTAAAACACTGCCAAAGTCTCTGAGCAACTGTGCATCAGATATCGAAGTATGATGGAAAGTGCGATACACAAAGCACGTCTCTATTTAATCCTTTTCGTCAACTGTCCAACAATTCTATAGTTTCAATTTTCATCAGACATAATTATAAATGTATATATTGCCAGCACCCCTACATTGACATTTGTAAGTGTATTATTACGCCCCTTCAAGCTTTCCGCAATATGGTGTACTATCGCCCACAGCCACGCGCTGCGTCTGATCCCATTCGAATGAGCTGTGTGACCAGCATACAGATTAGCATTCCTCCATTACTGGACATAACGGACCTATCACGTGCATGACATGTCTCTATGGACACGTGTAATGTCAGCTACATGGTGAGTTTTTGTACTTAACAGATTTCTGACAACTGCCAATAGATATCAACACGTACTCAGGCTGTAACGACATATGGTGCAGTAACACATATTGTACCTGACTTCAGGTTAAGACAATTCTCCTTTAGCCATCTCATCTTCACTCCTGCGAAACCTGCAGGGGAATAGGTTAAAGTATGCCTGTCAATAAAGAGCGCTCCTTTCAAAATATTTCATTTTTTTCTTTCTACAGAAAATGTCCACTTCCTTCTAACTGCTGATAATTGTTTCCCAGATTTGGTAAATATTCAGTATCGAAAATTTCCTGCAGGTAGGAAGTATCATACGCGGATCAAATATAACTGGCAATAGAATGTATGGAGGTCCATTTTAACTGTTGTGTTTGGTATTATATCGCGGACCATTGAAAGATATTGTAATCAGTTCAATTAACTTGCACTGGTTTTCCTATCTAACGTAACTAATTTCAACCTCAGTTGTCAGTTGTTCAAAGCAATGTTACTAAAACAAAATCATAAACGGTAATTCAAATTCCGGCCGAATGACAATTTGATTTCTAATTTCAATAATTATAAAAATATAAGCTATTTTCCCGTGAAGCTAACATTGCTTCAAATACAAAGATATTATAACAAATAAACTTTGGCAACTACCGAAATATACGCAAAAACATCACTAAGCGGAATAAAAACAGTACAAGAAACCAGGTGATTTAGTCATAAAACCTGTTATTTAATGTTTTAAAAATTGCACATCACAGTTAGAGTTAAAACGTTAAACAAAAAAAAACTACACAATATGTAACAAACAGTGCTTCGCTTCGTTTCTTTTGTTTTTTATTATTCTTATCTGCCAAACGCGGATATCTAAACAATGAAACAGTACATTACTTCTGTATGTTTGGAAATAAGGATAAGCCACGTTAACCCAAACAGTTACGTTGAATCCCCCTAACCCCTCCCATTTTTCATCTTTGTTTATACTATGATGGGATCCACTTTTGTTATCCTCCTCGGCCATGAGTCATCTCCAATGGCGACCCCCTTAAGGCGACCGATTATGGCAGCCGACCGAAATCACCAAATAATGAAAACATGCTCTGCTAATTTGTAATATTTAGGACAAATGGAAGTACCGTTGATCACACACAGATGCTGGATGCCTGTGCGTGCTTTTATCGTTTTATTTTTCTTCGCACAAATTTAAAACTCGGATGCGATCAATTAAATGCTTTAATTGTATTTGACAAATGAACAAAAAATGGCATTTCTGAAACTATTGGGATTCATCTTTCGTCACGCATCGGCCCCCGTGTATGATAAGGAATTGGTGTTGGTGACAACGCTTTAGTTTCCAATAGTGTTCCTGTAGGGACATGGAAATGGTTGTTTACACTGTGATACTTATCAAACGTTATATTTACACATGAATAACGAGTATTGGTTTTAATTAAAACTTCCAACAAAAGATGTTAGCTTTGGAGACCTCCCCCGATATTTTATTCCCTTTTCAATTACAGTAGTATCTGCGTCGTTCATATCTCGCGTTGATACCGTTCCTAATCACGTGTCATCCAAATTGTTCAATTTTTTACCAATAGTAAACCAGAACAAATGATTTATCATTCGTCAGCACATGCGAACTCATCTCAGGGACGCTACACGAGAAATGTATTGCATGGCCTCTTTAACCCCTGTATAAATATCATTTATGATGGAAATCCGAAAGTGGGTCGGTAATGAAGGCAAAATAGTAGAATCGACGAGCATTAGGCCCATTATTGATTAAGACATATTTCCACACCGTATAAAATGTAGGGCGAGTATTCTGAATTATTGAACCCTTATATGTATCGATGATAAAATGGAACTATTGGAATCCTGTTCCAATTTCAAAGACATATTTCAAAACCAATGTAAGATGGAAATAGTTGGGAGTAAAGGGAGTTCTTGAGAAGTTAATCATCCGTTTCGTCACGTATGTATTTTGGCGTAGATGTTAACATCACAGGTAACATGTTGTTTGTGTGATAATTTAATGAATAGCTGAAATGGCGATGGTAAATTTAATTCATCCAGTGAGAGACTTTCATGAACAACGTACACATGAATTATGTTTAAGGCACATGTATAAGGGCATACTGAATAGATGTACTACTGGAGAAGCTGGAACTAATTTTACGTCCATCACTTTCACCCTTATTTCGAATATTGATTCGTCTTCCATGATTCACCCCTGAAGACACATTTGAACTCTTCCAATTAAAAGGTTGGAACAGTTAATAATAAAATATCAGGGATGAATGGGCTATTGACAAGGGACAGTTTTTTTTTTGTCTTATTCACACAAACTATTAAACTGGTATATTTTCGAAGTCGGGTTCATATTAGGGTTTTGTTGACGCTTCGGTATTTCTTTAGTTTTTTGTTTGTTTTTGTTTTGTTTATTCTGCTCTGCCAACTACCGATTCAGCATTTAAATTGCACTGTTCTGATTTCTTTTTCAAACATTTTCTTTCCGTTGTTTAATTGCAGCACTTCCCATTGCCGATGTGTTCCGAAGACACAGTATGTTCTGAAATAAGCGAGTTACCATCTATAAAGGAAGAGAACAATTATTTCAGTTGGATGATGTGTCAGTGTCCCGGGGAAAGCGTGTGTCCCAAGAGTCCCGGCAAACAGACCATTGAGGTCACAGGGTCAAAATGGTAAGTACAATGATTTATTATGAACGTTTTTCCAGTGATCTCTCATATCTTGCATGAGGCACGTTAGTGTAGTGGTAGGACACCGGGCTCGTGACCGAAGGGTTGCGGGTTCGAATCACATCACGGCACTGTGTTGTATCTTTGAGCAAGATACTTTACTCCGCTTGTTCCAGTCTACTCAGCTGTAAATGAGTACGTGGTTGGGCAGTGCCAGAACTGTAGAATGCTAGCTGTGAGCGCCAAAATGGCAGCACCGGCTGTACGCTCCCCAGGGAGTTGAGAAAGATATTGGCTAGTTGCAAAGGCCCTACAGCCACGGGTAATAATTTGTGAACCACGACCTACAAACAAGGTTGTGATAAAACGATATATGAGAACTTCGAATTATTATTATTATCATTATTAATTGGCGACATTTTTGTTGTACGTTCGAAATGTTAGTTCGATTTTCGTATCGTTTGTTTCCATCGTTGTAATCCTAAACATGGAATATCAAATATTCTTAAACAGATATTGTTTATATATTGAAATATAAAGTTTTATGTGTTCTTTTGAATGGTTAAAATGATGTACTGTTATAATATTGAAGCATACAGTCTTACATTGTGTTTTGATATTGTGTAGTATACTGTATCATGTAAATAAACTATAACATTTTGATGTTAATGTAGAGATATGGTATGATGTCAATATTGGCAACATACTATCTTGTGTTCAATCACTAAAATATTCGGATAGAATGTTGAAGTTTATCATCTTATGTTCAGATTAAGACGTGTCTTTATGTACGATTTCTCTCTCCCTCAAATATTAGGTTACTTTTTCTGCTGCACAGATGAATCATACCGTACGTATTTACATGTGTATATTATGTGCAAAATAAGACGATTTAAAAAACCGAGTTTATGTTGTATTATGCCATGCACTATGAGTTAAATTATTAAGATCTATTGTTTCTATTGTACGTTTTAAATATTTTAACTGTTAAGAAAGATTGTTTAAAAGATGTATATCTTTTGTGTGTGTGTGTGTGTGTGTGTGTGTGTGTTTGTGTATGTGTGTTATATCTTTATAACTGATCGGCGCATTTTTATAAATGCTTAATTAGGAATTATTCCCTGGTTTCCAGTTACAAAAACCGATTTTTGAATTACATGTACACCTTTATGCTTTCACTAAAAGTCTACTTTCATAAAAACCAAAGTAAAAATATTTTCCCTTATATATAAAACAGGTAACAGTGCAATTGCCAGATGGCAAAATATTCTTCGTTTTGATATATCATTTCGATATCTGTCTTATTTCAAAAGTCCATCTGCAGCAGGTGATGTCTGACGAATATGTTTGTCTCTCAGGCAGCCTCCCGTCAACCGAAGCTCATTATTCCTTAAAGGTTATCGGTTCATTTTTCAAATATTTCAACATTGTCATAAAAAAGAAGTTCCGCCTATGACGTCACATTGAGTATACATCAGGACTGAAATTGCTTTGAAATGCATTCTTTTAAACCTGAATAATGACGGGAGGTTTAGGAAGCGATTAAATGAGATTCAAATAAATCATACAACAAATTAATGTCATCAGTTTACAAAATGGATTCCTTACGTCATCTTTTTTTTTTTTAAATGAATGCCTTGTTTGGTGTAACATGTAACTCGATGTTTACGCCCAACCTAATTTATTACGGTGCACTATTTGGTCGTTAATACTAGATTAAATACCAGATCTTGTTATTAAAATCTGTTAATTACTCCAAATGAATCTAATGACTCTAAACGGTCCATCAATCATATTCCGATTATAGTCATAATTCGCATCCTCATCCAACATCCCGAGGCCAGGATAATCACCACTGACAGGAACTGCCGTGTGGCGGCCATTTTGAATAGAAGCGCGTGAATGTTTTCCAGTTTCATCATTTGAATAATTGAGCCTCTATTTGAAACCACTCAGCCCGGCATATATAAGCACCTTGGGATTTCAAGATGTCTATCAGATATGTGGTCAAGCACAAATATCTAAAGACGGAAACAAGAACATCCACAGAAGAACGCCATAAAGTTTTTGAATTTCAACCAGACACAAATTGACGATTTTTTCCATTAGGAACCTCAAGGGATCATGAATCAGAAATTTCCCTCTGCTCTGCACCGTTCTACCGGACGACCCAGTCCTTTTTACGGGTCATTATTTACCGAGGTATTAAATACCGTCCACACTCTTGGGACTGTGTATAAGGCGGTAATTACCGTGTGAATCACAGATCTCCGTGCCCAAGTGAACCTTATTCACGACACTGCTAATATATTTTTCGCTAGTTTAAATCTGAATGGTAGATAATTTTTCCTAGACATCCTTGTGCCTTCTGTCCTGTTTCCTTGTTAGGTCAGGTCGTCTCGAGTAGGTAGGTAACGTAACGATATATTTCATATGAAATATCTCCAAGTTGAGCATTCTGGCTTCTCTTTTGTTTTGTATAAATGACGGAAGGCCTATACTACTTTCTCCATCACCACATATATTCACTTAAACGATATTGAGTCCAAGACATCATCATGATTTCGTGCTGATACATGTAGGTGCCAGTAATACTTGAGTTTAAGGTCTTCCCCTAACCTCCACCCCACCCTTTTCAATTACTCTTATA